TTGCTGAGTGTGAAGGTCTCAGTAAAAATGGAGAAGGGCTCCCCCTTCCTCTGCCCCAACAGCAAAAATTCTTAGACAAATAATTTTCCTCTAGAAGTGCCCACTTTTTCTTTCTTGGACCTTTACAATTCTTATTTTGGTGCCCTGGGGTGCTTTTGGAGGAGACCAGGAGACCTTGACAACATGAAAGGCTGACATCTAGTTTTGGGAAAATTTGGACATAAATCACAAAACTTTAATGTAGCTTAAAAGAGCAGATAAAGTGATTGCTGTGAAATAGTTGGCAGCAGGCTTTATTTTTTCTGCTGGAATGAGTCTCCCAGTCACCAGCCAGGGTGGGTGGGCAGAACTCTAGGGGGTCTCGGGCCCGGGAGGGCCGTGGACTCCGGGGTACCTAGAGGTAGGGGTCGCAGATGTATGCTAACGGCTGACGAGAGCCACCTCTGAGCTGCCCTGCTCTGTGCTGGGCCCTGGAGACCCAGGACAAGGGGAACAAGCCTGAAATAGTCCCTGTCCTCCTAGTTACAGTTGGGGGCGGGTAGAGACACAAGCTGGGAAGCAGCTACAACAGCAGGAGGGCAGTGGTGTGAGGAGAGGCGCTGGCCCTGAGAGGAGGGTCTTCCTACTCTCCAGGCTTTGGCTCCCTTGGCCTGATGACGTCCGTGCTGGTCTGCCCGGATGGGAAGACCATTGAGGCTGAGGCTGCTCATGGGACTGTCACTCGCCACTATCGGGAGCACCAGAAGGTGAGTGTGAGGACTGTGGCCCCAAGTTCACTGGCCCTGAGGGCTGGGAGGATGGGCCTGGCCCTGTCAGTCTAGAGGTCGGCAGCTGTGTCCAGGTGGCCCCCCTGTTGGCTGTTTGGTTCCTGATCCCTCTGCGACACCTTGCCCCAGGGCCGGCCTACCAGCACCAACCCCATCGCCAGCATCTTTGCCTGGACACGTGGCCTAGAGCACCGGGGAAAGTTGGACGGAAACCAAGATCTCATGAGGTGAGTACAGAGGAGGGGCCTGAGCTGGCCCAGGGTAGGTTCTGGGCCCTGCCTCCACACAGCTGGGGTCTCACTGCCCTGTACCCTGCAGGTTTGCCCAGACCCTGGAGAAGGTGTGCGTCGAGACAGTGGAGAGTGGAGCCATGACCAAGGACCTGGCAGGCTGCATCCACGGCCTCAGCAAGTGGGTGGCCTGGGGTAGAGGGCAGGGCTGGCCTTCCAGGGCCTCGGGTTTGGGTGGAAAGAAGCCCAGGGCCCCTCTTAGAGGCCTCCTCCTGAGTCAGCTCAGCTGCCTGGGGCAGGACGGTCCACAGCCCAGAGAGTGGGCCCCTATCCCTGAGGCTAGCTGCTCAGAACCTTTTCCATCCCCCGCTGCAGCCACCTCCCAGCTTCTCCCAGGAGAACTTGTATCCAGTTGCCCATTCACCTAGGAAAAACAAGACAGGCCTTACTGGGGTCCTGCTGAGTTGGCTGTGGCCCTTTGACAGTTGGCTGTAGGTGGCCTCTGGCCTGTAGGCCTCCGCGCCACTGCCCAGGAGGCCCGGCTGGAGCCGCCCTCACGCGCAGGCGCTCTCTCGGCAGTGTGAAGCTGAACGAGCACTTCCTGAACACCTCGGACTTCCTGGACACCATCAAGAACAACCTGGACAAAGCTCTGGGCCAGCAGTAGCTGGAGCGGGAGCGCTGCAGGCCGCTGGTGGCCGGGCCGGAGCCGAATGGGTCCCCGCGACGCCAGGCGGCAGAGGGTGAGCCTCACAGCCCCTCTTAGGAGGCCTTTCTAGGGGACATTTTTTATAAGCAAGATGTTTTTAAAAGTGTCTGTGTGTTTCCCCTCATGGTGACGTGAGGCAGAAACGGTGTGTTTTACCTCAGCCAGTGGTATGTTTTGCATACTGTAATTTATATTGCCCTCGGAACACATGGTGCCGTATTTAGCTACTAAAAAGCTCTTCACAAAATGGTCTGCTGTGTTTGTCCCTGAGGGGAAGGAGGCAGCTGGGGCTTGAGGCAGAGGCCCTCACAGGGCCAGAGGTCCCACCAGGGACACACTGGGGTGCCTTAGGAACAGCAGGCCTCTGTCCAGTCTGAAGGCCCCCCCGGGGGGAAGACGGATTCCCTGGAGTTCCCCAGCATGATCTGGTTCTATGTCCTCTTCTCCACTTTAGGATTGTTGTCACTTCCCGATAGATCCTGGTTATATTTTCATTTATTTTCCTTTGCTGGTTTTAATCCAAACACATGCAGACCTCCGTTTTTGCTCATTGCTTGGTCCTCAGAATAGGTCCCACCCAGTAGCCGCCTCAGTTCTC